GCTATTTATGGACATAGGAAACTGACAAAAAGGAGACAAGATTTTTTTTGATAATTGAATTAAATTAATGAATTGTTTTGAGAGTCTAAAGACAAATTTGGTAAATAAGTTAAGTCCCGTGGACCTTCTCATGTTCAATTAGAACTATTTGCACTTTATCTTGCCATATTAAGGTTTATAGGTGTTGTGTCAATTAGACTATAAGTCCATCCACTCTCCTACATACAGTGATGACTAAAGTTAAGTTTCTGGAGCTACTCGAAGTACTCTAGTGACTGTCAAATTTTATTTATACAATCTAGTGCCGATCATAGTTTTTGATTCTAGCTGTCTACAAACCAGATTCAGAAGTCTTCACATTAAGCTATTAATTCTTAAACTAATTTAAATAAATTCTGACAAAATTCCTCTCAAGGGACCAATCAACCACCATTAGTAAGAATTAATCAAACTGAATTAATTAATATTTAAATTTTTTTCTCTGCTGGATATAAAAATTGCACAATTTTGACATTTGATAATGTTCATAGCTAATTCTTATTATGGATTGAATACGAATAATAAGAAGAAAACAAATTATTGAATCTATTAAAGGCTAAATTCTACAAGTTATGTCTCTCATTTAAAGCTATAATGTATACATTAGGCAGTAAAAAGGCGTTCCTAGTTGAATCATATCAGTCGCTTTTAAATGTCTTGCTGTAAATTGAAAAGAAACTTGATTTGGATGAAGTATGGAATTGTGTATGGATTGGATTGGAATTATTAGGACAGGTGTGGGAACTTTTGTAAGTTGAACTTTTGGAAATTTTAAATTTCTTAAAAATGTGTAAATTTACAAATTTAACATTTTTTGTAAAATTCTAAGATTTCAACAAAGAGATTGAATTTTGAAGATGTCCATGCCTTGGTCAAATCGAACAAAACTAATAATTTCTAGGAATTGAAAACTCTTGCAAAAGGTGCGGTAATCAATTGGAAATTAAACAGGAATCTCGTTGAGAATGCAGGTGCTTTGTTACATTAATTGCCTTACAATTCAGTTACTTTATTTTTAATTTGATTATTAAGTTGGATTTGGTTAAGGTTTTAAATCTTTTAAGCAGTTTTTTAAAAAAATTAAAAAAAATATCAAAAAATTTAAAAAATTATTACAAGCGAAAATTTATAAACCCTTAAAGGGATCGTTCTAAAATTATTTCACGCTTTAGGAGGAGTTAGATTAATTTCAATTAAAATTTGCGACAACGAGGGGTTGTGAAAAAATTATTTTTTACGTGACGTAATTTGCGAACGACCCCTTAATTGCACTTCAACATCAACTTAATAATCATTAAAAGTTAAAATAGAAATATGAAAATTTCCATCTCAACAATTCCCAATACCAAACCTAATAAATAAACTTCATATGTGGGATTTCAGATGATTAATTAAATTAATTAGGAAAATGTCATTTCTAATATTACTCCTTATAACTATCAAGAACTTCCAACAATTCCTTAATACCTCCATCCAAGGCAACAAATTGCATTCATTTTCAGCTTGTCAAAAGCAACAATAATCGGATAAATGAATGATAATTTTGAAAGTTACTCGAACATGATTTGACTAATTATAGACATGACTATGCATTATTATTTTACTATGTAATGCTGTTTATATGTTCGAAATTAGGCTGAGTCTTGCTGTTTGTTTGGAGTTAATTAAAATGTTTTGAATTCGAAGCGATCACAAATTTTGATTTTAATTAAGAAAGTTTTGAGAATTTCAGTTTGAAGTATGTGATTTCAGGGAAGAAATTGAGTCTATATAAATCAATTTTATTTGCCACAATAAAGTCTAATTTTAGAAATCTCAAATCATCAATCATTTCACTCATATTAAATTAAGCCCTTTACAAAAAATATGAAAAGATTTAAATCCCTTTGATAAATCTATTAAAAAGTAATTCAAAAATATCATACATAAAAGCAAGAAGAAGTGCCAAGTCTCAGCTATAATGACAGACTCATGACAAAGCTAATCATAATAAAATTTTTGAAGCACATTGATTTTCTAACGAGATTAAATAAAAAGCTTTTCAGCATCAGACATGTTGTATAAGAGACGGAAAATTCTAAAATCAGCAGCTTGAGCATCTTACTAATAAGAAGACAATCATTTCGTATGTGCGGATGCCGAAGGGAAATAAAATATAATTAAATCTGTGGAGCTCGAATAAGTCACATAATAATGCATGTATGTAAGTGAATCTATAACAACAAGAAGTGTCTTAAAGTGTACTTTATGCTGTTTGTCTCCTTCTATGGACATCTATTGTGTTGTTTGCTGTTCTTGCTCATTTGTCGACTTAGCCTTACTGATGGATCATCGTATGTTGTTACATTTAAATAAAGTAAAACTGTGTTAAAATAATTCAAATGATAATTGTTGAAAAGTGACAAAAGAGAGCTGAATTCAAGCAAAAGTTGAGCTGAATTGAACCAAAGTATAGCTGAATTAAAGAGAGATTGAGCTGAATTTGATCAGAGTTGAGCTAAGTTGAAATTAAATGGTGCTGAATTTAAGCGAAATTGGGCTGAAACGAACAACAATTGAGCTAAAGTGAACCAAACGTGAATTAAATAAAGCAAAGTTGAGCTGAATAGAACCAAAGTTAAGCTGAATAAAGCAAAGTTGAGCTTAATTGAACCAAAATTGAGCTGAACGAAACCAGAATTGAGCTGAATTAAAGCAACGTTGAGCTGAATTGAACCAAAGTTGAGTTAAACTAAATCAAAGTTGAGCTGAATTAAAGCAAAATTGAGCTGCAACATTGAGCTAAAATTGAACCAAAATTAAGCTGAATTGAAACAAAATTGAGCTGAATGAATGCAAATTTAAACTTAACTGAACCAAAGTTGAGCTAAATTGAAATTTAGTGATGCTGAATTAAAATGAAATTCCAGGAAGCTATTGCAGTTTTCAAGTTAATATTTAAATTATTAAAAACCACCAAAGCAAAGCTACAATCCCTCACACCACAATCGACAAAAAAATCTTTTATTTTATTTTTATTACCTCACAAACGTATTCATTCATTCTCTGCAACAGATTCATTGCTACTTGAGCATGTCTTTTTCTCCATTCTGTGCTTATTCTTGCTGCCTCAGTGCACAGATTTATTTTCTTTCTTTATTCCAATTTATATCGTTAACGACCTTGATATTTTAAAAACTGAAAGTGTCTTTAAAGATCTTATATTTTTTTCCTGTATTTTATTGCTCACCGACTTCTCATTTGCCTTTGTCTTTGTGCTGCTGTTACATTGCCTTATATTTTTAAAAAGATTTTATAATTTTTTGAAAGCAAATACATTAACGATGTTGATATGACTAGATTGAGGAATGACTTGATCATGCAATCTTACACTTTTATTGCAGAAAAATGTTGTTTATTCTTAAAAGAAACTTTTTTAATTATATCGGAAATTATAATCGATTAATCACACATCGTACACGATGATAATAACAGATAATGTTGAATCCTTCATAAGTACTTATATATGCAAGTAGATTGATAAAGCAATAATAAAGGTATTATCGATAACTTTTTTTGTATTCATATGCCGTACATTATATCGATTTTAATAGCTGTGAGATTAATAATTTTGTAATTTTTCATTCCATTGTCATGTCTCTGGGCGACTTTTTCAAGCATATTTTAATGAAGTGTTTTAAGCGCGTATTTTGCTTGACGATTGCATGATAATTAGGCTGGCATTTATTAATAATTAAATTTTAGTATGTGCTTAGGGGCCGGCCGTTCACTTATGACGTCCGACATTTAGGGGGGGAGGGGGTCTAGGATTTTGTGACAGTTCAAACAATGGAAATTTTTTTCTATAGAATTTTTGTGACAGATGGGGGAGGGGGGTCTAAAAATCAAGTTTTTTGATGGACGTAATAAGTGAACGACCCCTTAGGGGTCGATCGCATATTTTGTATCAATGAAAATGAAAAATTTTCAAACCCTCGTCTAGGTTGACTAGACGTTACTTTATTAGAAATGACTTAAGTTTGATGTCGAGTATTGTTCATTATTTTTGGAGAAGGAGATGCGAGGGGGGGGGGGGGGGGAGGCTATAATATGTGACAAATTTGAACGACGATTAACCCTAGAAACCAACAAGAGATTGGTTTAACACTAGCTTTCAGAACTTATTAACACTAACCAAAGAATTTGACATCATTTTAAAATATTTTCAAGCTTCCATAACCAAATTAAAGTCCATAAAACTGTTTCAAAACAGACAACCAAACACCTGACAAAACCAAAATAAAAATGTCCTCAAAAAAGTCCATTCTAATTGCCAAACAATCCAATCAGACAGAAAATAAAATCAGTCCCAAAGCGATCGACATCAACAGAACTATCTCAATAAATAAACCCGTTTCCAGCAGCGACTATAAAATGAATGAAATGAAAGGGAAATTTTCTGCGAGATATAAAAAATTGCCACATTAATTGTGCTTTATATTCTTTTTATTTATTTTCAGCAATCTGACTGTGTAGACATTAACAAGTATCCGCTGTGGGAACTGAAAGAATCTAGAACAATTAATTCATCAGGGTCATAATCTTATTGACTCAAAAGTGAGTTCTTTTTTTGTATTCAACTATTTAATAAAATTGTGACGCGGACCAATTAATTACACTACAATGATTGATTATCATATTTTTATAATTTTCTGGTGTTGTTTTGTTTCGCTGTCGGCGATGAATTTTTGAGTTCTCTGGAATTAATTTGTTGTAGGTTTGTACGAGAATTTTAGTAAAGATTCCCATTAACAGCATTGTTCAAACTATTTGAGACCCGGAAGTCACACACTAGTGTGCCGAGACACACAGTTTTTACAGCACTGCCCTAAAAGATCTGACAGAAATTCTTAGTTTCCAGCAAAATTAAAATTATTTTGTTTATTTTTTATTTTTCAATATTAATACTTTTTAAAAAAAAATTATGAGGGTGTAGGTTCATATGGATATGTGTCGTCAAAAACAGGACTAATCTCATAAATTATTTTATCCAGGCATGCGTAAGCGTTTATCTTGATTAACTCGCCGCTAAGTAAAGAAAAAAAAATTCAATTTTAATTATTAAGAACTTAAATTCGCACTTACACTAAGAAATGACGTAAATATTCTCTAAATTCTTGTTTATTATCGCTTGTCAGAAAAATATAGTCTGCTGAAAAATCGTGCACGTAATCTTTGAGCTTGTAAATTTCAGGATTGCCAAATCTATAACTGTATATTTTAAAACTATCGTAAGTTGGATAATCTCTCATCAGCATATTTGAGTAATGTTCAGCTAGTTCAGCACAAGTTTTCGTCTCAAGTGGCGCTGCACTTTCATAACTTGGAGAACCAGCTTGGATTTCTAAAATAGAATCGTTTTAAAAAATTAAATATATAGTGCTGAGTTAAATTCAAGTGTAATCAACCAGGATACAGCCAAACACTTTAATTTTAATAAATTTATCAAGGCGTGGAAACTCAGGATTAATCCTGAAAAATCCCAAAAATCCTTAAAAAATCCTGAGCCAGTAAACGTGGAAATGTAAAATCCCTTTTAAATTCCAAATGCATTCGATGAATAATTTCGGGATTTAAAAGGGATTTTACATTTCCACGTTTACTGGCTCAGGGATTTTTTTAAGGATTTTTGGGATTTTTCAAGATTAATTCTGAGTTTCCACGCCTTGAAATTTATGATGTTCACCTTTCATCCTAGTGATAAAAATAAAAATGACAATAAAATACAACTTCATTATTTTAACTGAATGGTAACAAGCTCAAATCAGAACTAGTCGAAGTTAAAATTAAAAGCTCACTGCTGAAATAGAATATTTATTTTGTCAACTTTAAAACCTACTTTGAAGTTCAAACAAATGGTTTTTTTTTTAATTTATATTCAAACCGCGAAGAGTAAATTCATAAATGTTTGAATTTATAGTTTTCCTTTAGACACAAAAAGAGGGACCTTCCCCAGATCCAAGTGCCAAAAATTGTATGGCTAACCAAAATCTTATCCGGAACTCTAAGGTGTTTAAGCAAAATGAGTGAAAACAATCAAGCAACCAATTCAAAGGAAAACTTCCTCAATTCGCTAGAGCTTTTGGGAATAAAATTTTAAAAACTATATAGACTAGGTTTGAATAGTCAAAAATTAGAAATTATTCTTTCATCTTTAATAATAATTTTATAGTCGTGTTTACGTTTTTATTTGAGTCAAGTATTTTAACTTCTATTTATTGTCAATCACGAATTAAAATTATCGCTTTTCAAGGAAAGTTAAAAACCTATATGTCGTGTTCATACCTTGCCTACTCGACTGATTGTAATGAGATTTTTCAAAATTATGTAAAAATTTCGAAAACCCTAGCTAAAGTTCTCAAATAGCTCAAATTAGCTAAATTTACTAATTTTAGTTGATTTACAAGTTTCTCATTAGGCTGTTTCATCAACAGCTTAAGTACAGCATAAAATTTACTATCTAGTAACTTGACACTCCTTCTATATGAGCAACTTTTTTCTGTTCCTTTAATTTAATGAGATATAATGTGACTGCCGTATATCTGAGATAACCAAGAATGAAAAGAACTCAACAGTCGGCCTTCACAACTATGCAAAAAATAAAACAATAAGATATAAAATTTTAATTCTAATTTTGTTTGTATTCATGTGCTTTTGTGTAAATAAATAAATCCATTAAAAATATATGTGATCGGAGCTGTTCTTTGTGTAATTCTAGTAACTTTTACTTTCTATTTTGTGTCTCAAGTTGTTTACATTTAATGACTTAAAGTATCTTCGATGACCTTTGTTGTGGGTCTGCAAATTCTCTTTTCTTTATTTCATTTGTACAGAGATATGTAAAGACAGTGGTGCTGGATGTAGGAAGAAGAAGTTGAGAAGTAAAAGTATCAAGGTCAAATAAGAAAGTCACTTTTTATTATCCATGAAATTGTTCATGATTTATTATCGTGATAAAGTAATGAAAAATTGGTTTTCATTTTGTTTATTGTCACATTTAAGATGCCTCAAATTGGCCTTTTTATTAATTCACGATTATCATTAGTGGATTGGTTAGTGTGGACACGACTGTCAACGGTTTTATACTTTAAATGTAAGTTTAATTGAATAGGTTAGAATGTTAGAGGTTTTTTGCTGATTAAGTTCAACCCCCCCCCCCCCCCCTCTCCTGCCCCTTTTAGCTGCAATTAAAAAACAACGCTCTTGTTCAGAACTCTTTTTTTGACACTATAACGTATCATGTCTGTGCTATGTCAATAAAGATGAATTCAAAAAATTTCTTTAGGGGGGGGGGGGGGGTTCATTGGGGCTAATTAATAATCTGAGGTTTACTCGAACATTCAAATTCAAAATTTGCAAAAAAAAATCTAATTTCAATCAAAATGATGAAAACATTCCTTTCGATTACGTAAGCCTCAAGCCTTCAGACACTTGTTGATTCTAGTTCTAATAAAAAACGAGCCAATTGATATAATGAGAAGAAATATTTTCTCACCGAACGGAACTAAAAATGATGATGACATTAAACAAATTTATTGAGTCAATTAAATTTAAATATTTGAGATTTTGATGATTTAATCTTGTGGTAAGATAGCTAATTAAATAAAAAAGGATTATTGGGTTAGTGGCTGAATTTTGTTGAATTACCGAAAACTTACCTCAGATTTGTGTGCGGAGATAAATAATTTCACACGTAATTTAGTAACCAGCAATCCTTAATTGCCCACTTAAAAACTAATTATCACACTAGAAATAATTGAAGCTATTTTTTTAATGATAATTAAAGCATTTGCAAATAATTAAATTATTACTGGTTGCTAATTTATTGAAGTATGATAGTTTATAAGTTGTGTCATAAATTAATCTCTTATAAGAAACTGTTAATACTTTTCTTTATTTTCTTACATTTAAAATTCAACATTTAAAAAAAAAAATTCTACAAAAATTTCGAATTTTAACGTTTTTTTTAAATTTTTTGTTCAATATTCAATTTTATAAAAAAAATTTTAAATCATAAATTTCAATTCAATTTTTTTTAAAAGACAATTTTAAAAATTTTAAAATTTTTATGTTTTCAAAAATTCAAGAAAAATTTATTTTTTAATCAAAAATTATTCACAAACTCAGTCACACGAGTCAAGCTCAACCAACACAAAATTCTAGCAAATTAGTTTCAATAATTCCATTTAATCTCCAAAACAAAGCTCAACAAAATACAAAACCGATTCATTCAGACACAAATTACTCATAATTCACCTTGCAGAAGATTCTTTCGACGAGAGAAAAAAAAAATCAGCCGATCGACGTGACTTTTTTCAAATATACCAAAATATTCTGTTGTTTACGTTTCATCGGTGCGTTTGAATAGGCATGCAGGTATTTGTAAATATTGTTTTCATTTTTGTAGAGCTTTTCTATCCGACTCACTGTTTTTATTGTTCGCAAGATTATCATTTTTTGGATTTTAATTTTATATTTATTGATTCATGTTGTTTCTAAAGCTAGTAGCTTAAAAATGACATAAGATGCTTAATTAATTATTCATAAAACTAAAGAATAATTCCCACACAATAAAAGCATTTTCCAATCGAAAATATCAATCGACACCCCCCGAAAAAAAATCACCTCCATCAACACCAACTTTTAACCATTAAATCCATAAAATATTTCATGTTCCCCCATCTCAACAAGAAAGCTTTCCATTGACGCAGAGAAAAAAGTCGTTTTTAACATTTTGCGAGACCCACGCAAGAAAAAAAAATTTCATGTTTTCACCCTCAACTTTTTGACTAACTGTACGACTTAAAAAAATATTTGTAAATTTTTTAAGACTTGTAATAAATTATGTCGATGCTCATAAATCACATTGTGGACTAAGGAGGCTGAAAAAAATTCATTCATTTTGTAGAAAATTAATTACAAGCGCAAAGGGGTCGTTCACTTATGACGTTCATCAAAAAACCTGATTTTTAGACCCCCCTCCCCCCCTCTGTCACCAAAATTCTAAAGAAAAAAATTTCCATTGTTTGAATTGTCACAAAATCCTAGACCCCCCTCCCCCTAAATGTCGGACGTCATAAGTGAACGGCCCCTAATGCCTTTCCGCGATGGATAACACGTGAAATTATGAAAAGGAATCAGTTCATATCTCTTTCTACTCCAAGGTCAACATAATGCTCTACATATATTTTAAATCCCCATTGCTTATGCCATAATTGTCATACTTAATGGCAAAAGAATACATTTTAAACATCCTTCGTCCTCAAATAAATTTTAGTATCTTTTTTTCTTCCTTTTATTCCAATTTGTTCTACTTCTTACTGCAAAGAAAAAGTACTTGAAAGATGTGAGTAACACACATACACACACAATGGTGAAGGTCAAAGGCTAAACGATACAAAAATGGATTTGTTTAAATCGGACAGAAACAGCAACGAGTTGATTTAGAAAAATGAAAAAGTGAAGGATGGTTTGGGAAGATTATCGAGTTATTGAGTGACTAAAGCGCATTTTCAGTAGTTTATTGCCATATGAGTTCTATCTCTAATTTTATAGGTTTAAAAAAATTGTTGAAAAAAGTAATTCACTCAATGGTTCGTCCCTGGTGGGAATCGAACTTCGTATCTCCCGCCGGTCGAGTTCTTAGACTCCAATTTCAACCTCAACAATCTTACGAATAATACCTAGCTGCATATTCGAGTGCCAACCCTAGCTTCAACATAGTACAACCTAGCATATATTTTTTATCTACCTTAATAAATTGACAGAGACAGTTTTACACTTGGTATTGGTAATTGGAAAGCGGTTACCTGCGATAGAGCCAGCTTCAGGCGCCATCTAAGGGAGGCCATGAACACAATTGATCTGTACGGCCTAAGAAGTAAGTAAGTACCTTAATAAAACCAATACTTATAAGATCTAGATTCTTAAGTCTGCCTTGGCAAAGCTAGCAACATCTGTTTACTTTAACAATCAAATCACTAAATAATAAGTAGACATGAGGAAGGTTCAATTCTCATCAGAGACAAACCTTTCAAACCTTACAATCAATACTGACAATATAACAAGGATTCAAACAATGTCTAAAAGACAATAACCCACAATAACATGTCAGAATAAATCTTGATCTATAACATCTTAAAAATAAAGATTGCAGATTCTAGTTCAATATCCTAAAGCAACGAATTGATATGTCATTTCTAAGTTGTTTACCATGTCATAATATTCATCCTTACTTGATAAAACAAAAGCTTCACATTAGCATCGAAAATCTATCGAATAACAACAAAAGCTTCTGTGTGCAGTCGATTTCTGGGGCTACTTGATAAGCACTACCCTAGAATCTTAAATCGATGTCTTATATTTGGAAAATTAATGAATTTTGACTGTACCTAGAACAAATATTCTTGAGAAGACCTAGAAACCAACCGGCAGTAATCAATAAATATGAAAAACATAAGCAAACAAGTCAAACCTTCCAAAAAGCGTGTCCCAATATTTTCTAACATCCTGCATAAATACAAAAGGATCTGAAATTAAATAAAAGAGTGAATTGAAGCTATTAAAATGCCATAAATAACATTTCTATCATAAAATATACACAACCTTGATACAAACAAGATGAAGCTTGTATCTATCCAGTCTATGTAAGGGATAATTGAAGGAAAAAGGATTTCAACATTAAACCCATATCAATACGATATGAAAAGGGATAGAAAAATACTGTCAAAACCCGCAAAATGTTGACATTTGAACATAATTTGAACAAATATTTTTATTATTTTATTTCTACGAAACTTGTGTGTGGGCATAAAAAGCTATAAACTGAATGATTTACAATAAAGTAAAGTAAGAACATGTTATTTATGATCAAGGGATATAAATTGAAAATATTCAGATCGAATCTCTATGGCTTATCGCATAAAGGTTAATTTCTATAAGAATTAATCTTGCGAATTCAAATGCGAAGATACGAGCGTGTAAGGATACGGATATTGAAGAGAAACGTGGGAGTAGAATGTAAATTTAGTATAAAATATTTTCACAAAGAGCTGTAATTATTACATGGAATGGGAGTTTATGGTATCTGGAGGCTTGGAATGAGATAAATTTATGTATTGAGATGAATTATGTCCTTTGAAGATATTTCAGCTGATTTAAGTCAATTAGGAAGACATTAAAGTGTTGATTATGATGCTTTAAGGTCGATTAAGACTTATTAGGATCGATTAAGACTTACTAAGGTCAATTGAGATCTACTAGGATCGATTTAGACTTACTAAGGTCGATTGAGATCTACTAGGGTCAATTGAGACTTACTATGATCGATTTAGACTTGATAGGGTCGATTGAGACTTACTAGGGTCTATTGAGACTTACTAGGGTCGATTGAGACCTACTATGAGTAATTGAGGCTTACTGGGGTCGATTGAGACCTACTAAAGTCAATTGAGAGTTACTATGGTCGATTAAGACTTGCTAGGGTCGATTGAAGCTTACTAGGGTCGATTGAGACTTAAAAAGTTAGACTGAGACTTAATAGGGTCGATTGAGGTTTACTAGGGTCGATTGAGACTTACTAGGATCGATAAAGAATTTTTTCATTCAAATAGAAAGCTTGAAACTAAAAAATCAACGCAAAAATGCACAATTTTACAAAAAATGCCCATAAGGATACAGCATGCAAGACTCCCACACATAAATAATTCAAATAAAATAAAATTCCTCCCATAGTAATCAAGATTGTCACGCTCTTTGACGTGATAGAGATTTGATCCTATTAATAGCTTTCAGTTTATCTTCCATGAATTAAAAAGAAGAAAAAAACCTTGTCGATACCAAAAAATACTTTTTATCACTTAGTCATGCCTCACATACATAATATGAACAAGGATTTCTTAGTAAAAGGAATCAAATGGTGAAATCATATCAAGTCATCTGATATTATCATGTTTTCAATTTAGAATCTCTGTGACCTTTACAAAATGTTAAAAGCATCAAAATTAGGTTACGTGAGTAATCTCGTTCAGATCGGAAGTGTTTTGAGTGTCAGGTGTGTGTGGATGTCTTGTTAAATCAACGATTTATGCCAATATTGAAAGACTATATAAAAGTTAAGATCCAAGATAAATTGAATTGATCAATCCCGAATGGCACAAGTTGGTTAATCGGATAAAAATCCGGCGCCCAGCATGCATGACTCTAGCATGGTACTTGCTTCGATTTAAATTCAACACCATACCAGAGTCACACCAGCTTAGTGCTGGTGGATTTCTGATCGATTAACCAACTTGTGCCAATCGAGAATGCTATCTTACTTATCAGCAAGGCGATTCTTCTTCCCCATCTCAATCAAAAAGAAACTAAAATGAAAAATTCGTCGGCAAAACAAAATTGACTTTACTTGATGTACTCTATTTTTACATTTTACGTAAAAAGTCTTCTTTTCATGCTACGATAGATTTGTCAATTGACGTCATTCATGAAAAAATATGGTTTAATTTCATTACAGTTGTCTTTGTCTTCTTCCCATTTCTGCTTGGTTCATTAATCTGTATCTCTTTATTTTCATTTAGCTTGTTTAAGTCTTTTAATAAGTTTGTGTTGAGGCTTTTGATGATGGAGAATGTTTGTGGGTTGTAAGGTGTTTGTTAAGGATTATGAAACATTTTAAAAAAGAGTTTTTTGAGGAAATCAACATTAAATCTCAGGATCAACCCACAACATCTCAAATTCCACCATCTCAGACATTTCACCAACAATCCTCATTGTTTTCGTTGTTCCTTCATCACCCGCTGTGCGATATTTATTGCGAAATTCATGGACTTGAACAGTATTTGTGTCAGCAATCAATGTGCATATGAAGTTTTTAATAAGCATATATCATAATAACTTTCTTTTTGTGATTACACAACAGACAGCTGACGTCTACAATGATAAAGTCTGAAAAGTATAAGATGGGAAAGAAGGATGAAATGGATGGGAGGAAGCACTCCAATTGATTCAGTTTTCAATTATCTCAGACTCAGCTGCCTTTCGCTGTCGTTGATACAGTTTCTGACTAAATTGAAGTTAATATGATATGCGTACGATGCTGATGTGCTTCTTTGTCATATGAAATGTGTTCCATTACTTTCATTAGATACTTCTGTTTCTCACTCAGTCATTGTTATCATCACAACTTATTAACTGGGTTGGATGTACAATATATTGTGTATGATAATGGAAAATGAAGATTGTATGATAAAAAATTGAATGGAAGTTTACTTACTTTTACTCATGTGAGTGTTGATTAAGAAAGCTTTCAAGCAAGAGCTTGCAAAGTTGACTTTGTATGAGTCTTAAATTGTGTCAAAAAAATTAAATTCAAGTCTTTACACCTTAAACATCCCTCCTTCCTGCAGATTTAGAAGTCTCTGAAATGATGCTGGCTTCGATTTAAATCAAGCACCATGCCAGAGTCACACCGACTTGGATCCGAATTTCTGATTGATTAACTGGCTTGTGCTATTTGGATACAACCCATTTTCCTCAATTAAGGACATAAAGTAGTCACAAACCCTTTATAAACAACTCAAACATGTTTATATTTTCCACTTGCTTCAAACCTGATGAACTTTACTCAATCTATAAATATCTAAACACATAAGCTCCAATAATCGGTCAAACATCATTCAGTAAACCTCTCCCCATTCAAAATTTTCAAAGGGGTCAACAACGTGGTGGGAAAATTTTTATTAGCAGTTTTCAACCAATTTCATTGAGTTTGTTCACTTATGATGTACGAGATGAAGGTTGGAAAGGGGTCTAGGATTTTGTAACTCAAAAAAAAAATTTTTTTCCATATTTTGTGGCAGGAGTGGGAGTGGGGGGGAGGGGTATCTAACGTCTAAGGGAAGAAGTGAAAGATCCCTAATCATATGCCACGAAAATTTGAAATTAATGAAAACTCTACAAGGGTCTACCACGAACCATTGAAATAAATTCACTGAAATTCACACTTAACATACTTTCCCCATCATGCTGTTATCCCCCTGAATTTTTTTTCCAAGTCAATACACTCCTTCAAATGCAAGAAGTCTTCAAAAAGCATCCAGCATCAATAATATTCAACAAATACAACTAAGAAGCACTTGTGAACCATCTGAAGCATTCTAATTTGTGTCTCACATTCTCTCAGACAGAATATTTTATTTATGTGATCTAAATTGATGCATCAATATTTCATCATGTCTTCATTCGCATCAAAAAGTTTTCCATTTCAGCTTTTGAGAAAAACTTTTTTATTTTTTTTTTCCTCATATTTTATTGATTGAGTTTATCAGAAAGTTATGCTGAATAAGTTTATCGATACTGTTTGTGATACTTATACTGTTTGATGTGGATGTTAGGATGTGATGCAGACAGTATTGGAGATGAAGTTGAAGCTTTGATGTGTATGATACTGTTGCAGTTTAAAGAATATCCTTAAATTCTTTATGATTTTTAAAATTCCTGCAAACCTTTATGCAGCAACGTGCTGTACTCAACTTCAAACCTTATAATAGCAGTAATAATGCTAACTTCTGCTGTGATCTAATAATACTTCACGACCTTGTCTGTTGCAGATACTTTTTCATTCATTTGCAGTTGAAGGTTTGTTTGATTTTGAAGCTAATTGCGTTTAAAGTTAGCATGATGAATTTCAGTTGCATGACTACTGAGGATTCACGTTAAATTATTAATTTCTTAAAGGAAACATGGATTTTGAGATATTTTTTTTATAATGTCAATGTCTTATTGCTTTACAATAGTTATTAAATGTTTGTTAAGAAAGTTAAGATTGCCAAATTTGGACTGATTTAAGTTTTGAAATGTTTTTTAAATGTTGAAGATTTTTAAATACTTTGACGTAGCCAGAAAGGTAGTGAGGTGAGAAATTACAGCCATTCCTACATCATTTTGACCAGAGTTGCGATACAGGCACCTGTGAATAGGTGAGAACCGTACAATTCCTTGATAATTTATAAGGTTTTTCTAATCAAACGATACAAATTCTAATAAAACCTCACAAATTATCAAGGAGCTGTACGGTTCTCACCAACCCACAGGTTCCTGTATCGCAACCCTGTTTTCTTCAAAAATGTCTTTAATTCCCAAAAAAAGTCAAAACCAAGATTTATTAAAATATTTTTATAAATTTAATCACAAAACAACTGCAAATAAATTTAAACGCATATGAAAGCTGGATCACAATATTGGGTGATAGGATTAAACCATGTTGAAGCTGTACAAGTGTATGGAGCACCAATCATGGCTGTACCATTTGAGAAGCAATACACTTGAATTAAAAAGGAAAAAGTTGATTTTAAAAGTTCTTTTAATTATAAATATATTTTAAACTACCATAACTAGCACATGTTGTATAAGAAGGATGAGCATATCTGCCTGTGGCCTTTGCTAAACAAAAGGCATTAACATTAAATAAAGCCAAAGGAGTAGTTTGTCTGGAAAAAATTGAATTAATGTTTTTTGAATTGTTATTTTAAAAGGTTTAAAAATTACTTTGTCGTTATTGTGGTTGTTGAAGTTGTTGGGGATGTTGTTGTGGTTGTTGGCTCCATTGTTGTGGTTGTTGCAGGCATGGTTGTCATCGTAGGAGGTAAAGTCGTTGTCGTGGGAGACAAAGTCGTTGTCGTGGGAGACAAAGTCGTTGTCGTGGGAGACAAAGTCGTTGTCGTGGGAGGTAAAGTTGAAATTGTTGGAGCTAAAGTCGTTGTCGTGGGAGGTAAAGTCGTAGTTATTGGAGTTAAAGTCGTAGCAGGTATTTTTAATGGAATATTTGCAATTTTACAGCTTACTCCACTTGATAACACCCCACATGATGAACCTCCCCCTAAATTCTGATTACAAACCATTCCTGACGAGCAAGTTCCTAATGCAGCTAGATCAAAGACACCATTTACATCGCATGGGATAAATTGATCGATGCTGAAGCATGCAAATAGAGATGTTTTATTACAAACATTGCATTTGGCTTGAATTTGGGTGGCAATTAATAGCACTAAAGCTGGAACCTAATTTTTGATTATTGAATGTATTTTTGTGGATCTGTTATAATTACCGAAATTTTCATGTGGAATTTAATTTGATGTTCGACTAGTGAACTGACTTAAGAATGTAAACTTAAGTTCCTTTTATTCAAAAATTTCTTATCATTTTTTCAAATAATTTATATGGCTCTTTTGTTCTTATTTTAGCTTAGATTGACAGCTTATAAAACTTCTTGTCATTTATTGCTCTAAAACGGCATTTATGGCTCTAAAATGAATATTCAAATTTTTTAATTAAAATTTTTTTTTTATAAGTGACATAAAGCGCAATAGGTCGTTTACCTGGAAGACGTAACCCGAAAAAAACAAGTCGGTTAATCGAATAGAAATCTGACGCTAAACCGATATGACTCTAGCTTGGTTCTGGCTTCGATTTAAATCCAGCATCATTACAGAGTCACATCAGTTTGATGCTAGATTTCTGATCGAATAAACGACCTGTGCTATTCGAGTAAGTGTCAGGCAGAATCAGAATCTTAACGCTCATGAATTAAAAATGCAGAAAACACAAAATCGCAACCAAAAATCACAACAAATAAAATCCTAAATCAACAAGATATAACCTCCAAACTAGCTAAAATCAGAGGGCGAAGTCGACTCGAAATTTGTATGAAGTCGAGTGAACTCAAGTCGACTTTTCCATACAAAATCCGAGTCGACTTCGCCCTCTGGCTAAAATCCAATTGCTTTTATTGCATTCCAAAAGATTATAAAACAAGTTTCCATTTTAATCCTCTCTAATTCTACACCAAATCACTTAAATGAGATGAAAACAAAAATAATAAAACAATTTTTTTTATGCAGCCTACATCCATAATTCATTCACAAAATGTCAAAACTTCCTGATTAATTCGCATGTACAATGTAAATTTGTTCACATGTGAGCATTTTGCTCGAACGATAAATTAACTTTAAGCTTCCATCCAAAATGTATGGCCACCCACATCAACGCATCATAATTTTGCAAATTTCGTTCTTAATTCATAAACATAAATATTAAAGAAAGGGAAACTGTGTCGTGCTGAAGGTGAAATATGTTAAATTATTATTCTGAGCGCCGTATAATAAATCCATCTCAGGAACATTGAAATGAATCTTTATTACTTTGTAGCATGAATTTGTTAAAGTTCAGGTTTCATTTTGACTTCAATTTGATTTATCCTATTTTTGTTTGGGGTCGTTTAATTATGACGTCACTTTATAAAGAAACAATGGATTTCCAGGAATTGCTATTGTTCTTTTCGTACCAACCCCCCCCCCCCCCCCCCCCCCCCCTTTGAACGTCATAAGTGAACGGTCCCTATGAACTTTAATTTTGAATACAAAGTATGGAGAATTAAAATAAATGTGGAAAATCTATAAGTTATTGGACAATATCTTTCAGTTCATCTTGTGTAATATGTGGCTTCAACAAGTTACAAGTTTTTGATGCAAAACTAGATTATTAAGCAATTGTGATACATTGTCGTCTAAATCTGACAAAGCGGTTTATTGCTGTAAATTGATAAATAATTGACACGGATTTGAAAAGCTAGTTTTATTGATTTAACGATGTGGAGCTTGTTTTGACCAAGTCTCGATGGCTACAGAATTATAGATTTTATGACGGGGGTCTATTGATCAAAAACTCATCATTTTTATTTAAAAACAAACAGAAACCTACTTAATATCTCCAAACCTTACCCACACAACTCAATTAAGAAAGAATTTGATAATTACAACCCATTCCTAATTAAGACTTCCAGCTCATAATCGGATTCAGTCTCATTAATTTCCATTAATTGAAACAAAAAAGAACTTTTTATTAATATTCATAACTGTCAACTTTATATGATTTTAATTTCTCGGAACAGATAATTTCATAATAATGTGGTGCATGCACTCCCATAAAAATAATTAATTTTAATTATTAAAACTTGATTTTAACAACAGTGTAATGGCTTTAAAGGATTGAATTTCGAAGGGTTTTGTGCTGATTTAAGATTCAATTGGTCTCACATTAGGATTTTTAAATCTTTTGACTTCCTTAAATACCACACGAATGTCCAAAAGGAAGGTTGACCCAACTCTTCGATAGAATTTTGCAGTATCCTAACCTGAAAGAAGGAAGAAGTTGCTTCAGGGGGAAAACAACTTCATTGAAAATGATTGAAAAATTTATTCATCCAAGGAGTTTCCCCCTGAGTTGAGTTAACGACCCTAACGTTGAAATATGAAGTTTAAACTAGGCTATATTTTTTACACGTAGAGTTTTTCCGTCCAGCATCCGAGAAAAGAAGCAGGCGCGTATTCAAAGGGGGGGGGGGGTATATTTTGGGGACAAATCCTTCTTAATCATCAGAAGTTTCTTCATTTTGCTACAAAAATTGTCTGTACCCACCCCCTCATCAGATTCCTGGCTACGCCCCTGATAACATGACTATATAGAATAGCTAGTGTACAGTAGCAAAAAGGAGCTAACCTTTGGCTTATGAAAATAAGAAAAAATACAATCTAACTTAAGGGGTCGTTCGCAAATTAAGTCACGTTAAAAAATGACTTTTTTGACCCCTCCAAACCTTGTCACAAATTTTGTATGAAAAAAAAAGTTTTTTGTTTAAACTGTCACAAAATTTCTCGCGGCTCCTCCATAAAGCATCACCTAATTTACAAACAACCCCTATTTAAGATTGAAAAAAAATTATTCCATATCTTAACTTGATAAAGTTAATTGCTTAATGCGTGCATATTTTTCTTAAATATTGAATTAATCTAGGTAAGTAAAGTAAGTCTCGCCTGAGTGCAAGTGCATAAAACTTGTAATCGGAATTATTCAAAGGAAATTGAAAAGTTGATTTTACTTGATCTTAATTTAATTTTTTACAAATTAATTTCAAAAATTGTGCAGAGTATCACAAAATCAATGCTGTTCATTCAATCGTCATCTTACTTAAAGAACGCCTTAAAGAAGCGGTGAAATGGCATCAGTGACCTAAATGGTAGAGCGTTGGCCTTACGTGTCAAAGGTCCTGGGTTCAATCCCAGGCCATGTCTAATTTTCGAAGCTCTTTTTCCATTTCACCGTTCTAGTTACGAAGCTCGGTTCGTGTGTTGGGTGTAGTATTGATGTCTTTGGCATAGAATATGCCTCCTTTGCTAGGTATACAAGGATATACTAGCATCTGGATGACTTCCTTACATCATCTTGCGCACACGAATTGTGACTAGGTACATTGCAGGGTACATCAGGTCTTATGACGTACTCGTGTCTTTGCAATGTACAGAGCTTGCAAGTGGTTCGGATCCCACTATAAACTGTAGGTCTAAAGGGTGTGGTACAATAGATTCTGTTCTAATTTGAATCGCAGTGCCTCCAGCTGAAAGGCTGGGCCCTTCACACATTATATATAAAGAACGCCATTCTTACAGCCTTAAAATTCCCGGTTTTGAAACGGTTAACGCACAAATTTTTACACATATGTGACAAAAAGATTATTTATTTCTTCAAATATCAGCAAAAGAAGTAAATTTTCATGAAATAGAAATAAATATTAAGTACATTCAGCAACCACATCCATGACGTCAATCGTTCTTCAAAAAATATTCAATCACATCTCAATTCTGGAGGAAAAGGTATGGAAAAATACAAAACTCATGCTGTAAAGAATGTTAAACGACCTTGAAAAACTTACTCATGTGACGAATAAAGCGGCACATCCATTTCGCATTTTTATTTACCTATAAAATATTGTTTGTGCTTGAGTGATTTTAGTCTATGCACGTGAGGAGATGAGAATTGTATTTTTGTGATTTGGATGGAGTTTTTAGAATTTATTGGTGATGTTAAAATTCTTTAAGGCACATGAGCGTGGCAAGGAGGGCTCTTAGGTATGCTCTTACATACTTACCAAGCGCGTAGCCAGAAGGGGATGTTTGGGGGATTGTCATCAGAAATTCTATAATTTTGCTAGAGTTTTTTTATGAAAAATTCGCAAAAACACCCCCCCCCCCCCCCCCATAAATACAAAAGTTGCTGGATTCTTCAAAATTCCTGGCTACGCCCATGGTAATCCCTGTAATCATATTCCTATGTAGAGCTTAGGTTGCAACAAAAGGTTTTCCATCTGATTCTGCTGCAGGCTTTGCCCCCTAGATTTTACAATTTGGTTTGTCTTTAATCAACAAATATAAGAATATTTGGAGCCCACATCAACTCTATTTAAAAATTCTGGCTACGCCTACATCAAACAGGATCTAAAAGGATTAATTAGGACTAATGAGGTCTTGATTATCGTCGACATTGACGTCTTGATTTAAAATAATTCTGAACCACCTTCGAGTAGTCGCACACCTCGTCGTAATTTATGGGAATCTCAAAAAAACCTTAAGGGGCCTTTCACTAATTACGTAACGCATTTAGGGGGTCTAAGATCTTGTTAATCTTGTTAAACGTAATAAATGACCGGCCCTTTACAAATAATAAAATTTTATATACGAGAGTACAAATTCACATGAAGATTATTTGCAACTAAGTCTATCGCAAAGTGCCACTCTCAACACAACATGATAATCATCACCAAATAACTTAAACCTAATAAATTGATCATTTTAAATGTGACAATTCAATCTCTTTTTATTCAATTAAATCAATTGGATGTTTGCAACATCATAAAATAACAAGACAAGAGAATAAATGGCAAATGGAGCTTTAAGAAGAAAAACTATTTATTCAATAAATGTCATCGTGACTCTAAAAGTCGATTGACGACAGAATATTTTCTCTATAATTTTTTATGACACCAGTCATGAAAAGCAACATTGAAGCATGGAATTAATAACTTAGTTTATTTACTATTTCACTTCATTTACGATAATGCAGTTTGACATTTAACCTTCTTTAATAAAAAATTGTTATGAATTATTGGCTTCATTTCTACTTTTCTGATTGAAATTTAAAGTGAGAAAAATAAAGACTTTGCAATTCATTAAATTACATAACATAATAAAAAAAAATATTGCTATAATAATAATTAGTAAATCGTTTTATAAAATGAATATAAACTGTAATGTGTTAAGTGTAT